TATTATTATTGTTATTATTATTATTATTATTATTATTATAGTAATAATGCTGATTATTATCATTATTATTATTATTGCTATTATCATTACTAGCACAAATGTGTCCATTATGTTAATTCGGTTAGGTAGGGTTGGTAATGCACGAAGCAAAAAACTAAATTAAGTCGTTATCATATATTGTTTTAAATCCAATACATTTATTATTAGTGTTTTAATTGTCTTTATTTTGCATTATTTAATCTATTACTGGTATCGCCCTGATTGTTGTTGTTGTAGTGTTAAAAAAAAATAAAAAAGTTCATTTGTTTTTTAAACCAAAATCCTTTATGAACTGGAATAAACATGTAACAGGGCAGAATGTATTAAAGACAGAGCGCTTTGTACATAGAAAGACAAATGTCATTGATTTATTGAGTTCCAATACTGTCTGCAGTGCCTTACAAAGGACGCTGAACCATTCCCATCTGTCCCTGTCGTGGAGAATCTAGCTGTACCTGTACACAGTAATGTATATGTATACTCTCAAGCCAACTAGCCTCCCAATATGTCTTCCAAAAGCCACAGGGACATAGTTAGGGCATGCAAACTCCATGAATTGTTCAAGTGATCCGAGGAATCTGGTGCTACCAGGCATCGCTTTGGGGAGAATTCCTTTGAATAACATTCAGTCTAAGAGCAAATGGCGTCACTGAGACACGGCCCAGCACATCAATGACGGCAGCTTTGCCATAGGATTGAATACAATTCATGAGACTATCATGGGTTCAGGTGAATGTTGTCACTGGATCACATCAGGGAGTGTGTATGGAAAGCCTAATTCTTTGGTAGTTTCTTGGTCCTTGAAAAAGAAAATTGGTTGATTATGAATTTTTTTTTTTGGTACAGCCTACTACAGTATTGTGTGCCAGGATCTGCGTTGAATGAGCCCTTTATAGCAATGGTCTGAATTATTAAATGCTTGAGGATGGAAATAGAAAATGATAGAGTGCAAAAGCAGCTTGATCATGGTCATATAAAACAACACAGAACCTGCGGGCCTGTCTGTAAATGATTCATATCGCTCAGCTGGTCATTGGCTGCATTTCTGGGCACATTAAAGAGTCACCTTAGCTATACAGTATATCCGCTGCCTACATTCGCTCCTAGTTAGCCTGATGATCAGGTTAGCTAGGAGCGAATGTAGGCAGCGGATATACTGTATAGCTAAGGTGACTCTTTAATGTGCCCAGAAATGCAGCCAATGAAGAATGGGAAATCCAGATGTTGCACAAAGATGCTGCGATCAGGCCCTGATTGCAGCATCTACGTGCAACATCTGTATTTCCCAGTCTTCAGACCTCCCCAACATTGACCACTTTGATATCTCAAACAGTGCTACATTCGCTGCCAGTGATGGATTTAAAACATTAGCCGTCATCAAATGGCGTACAATGTATCGGCATTGATTCCACAGCGTACAATGTATCAGCATTTATTCCACGGCGTACAATGTATCGGCATTGATTCCATGGCGTACAATGTATCAGCATTGATTCCACAGCGTACAATGTATCAGCATTGATTCCACAGCGTACAATGTATCAGCATTGATTCCATGGCGTACAATGTATCAGCATTTATTCCACGGCGTACAATGTATCAGCATTGATTCCATGGCGTACAATGTATCAGCATTGATTCCACGGCGTACAATGTATCGGCATTGATTCAATGGCGTACAATGTATCGGCATTGATTCCATGGCGTACAATGTATCGGCATTGATTCCATGGCGTACAATGTAAAGGCATTCATTCCCTGAGGTACAATGTAAAGGCATTGATTCCCTGGCGTACAATGTATCGGCATTGATTCCATGGCGTACAATGTATCAGCATTGATTCCATGGCGTACATTGTACGCCATGGAATCAATGCCGATACATTGTACGCCAAGGAATCAATGGCGATACATTGTACGCCAAGGAATCAATGGCGATACTTTGTACGCCAAGGAATCAATGGTGATACATTGTACGCCAAGGAATCAATGGCGATACATTGTACGCCATGGAATCAATGCCGATACATTGTAAGCCATGGAATCAATGCTGATACATTGTATGCCATGGAATCAATGCCGATACATTGTACGCCAAGGAATCAATGCCGATACATTGTATGCCATGGAATCAATGCCGATACATTGTACGCCAAGGAATCAATGCCAATACATTGTACGCCATGGAATCAATGGTGATACATTGTACACTATGGAATCAATGCCGATACATTGTAAGCCATGCAATCAATGCCGATACATTGTACGCCAAGGAATCAATCAATTGAATGCAGGGTCTGTGGTTTACAATCCTTATTTAATTCATTTTAGTTGCACTGAATGATCAATTGAACGGTCATATCGATTGGCGCGGACACCTTTACCCTTATGTATTCCTTTACCTTCAATGGGATACCACAAACTGTTATAATTACCGTGAATGTTTTTTTAACAAAGGTAGTTACAACAATGGGCATAATCATGTAAGCCATGGCAACCATAGATTTCATCTTCCATCGCTCGGTTGCTAGGCATTACACTCCAGACACCATCATGGCTCTTTGCCCCTGCTCCTTCCAGTAACGGTAAGCTCCGTGCTGATTAAATAAGGAAGCGTGAAGAGCAGCCAGAACAATGAACTGCTAACGGGTTCCTATGACTTATGGCACCTCACACTGCGCTATAAAACCTTAGGCATGATGTTGGCTTTTGCTGCTGCCGATGGGCTGCAGATTGGAACTGTCCAGGGCTGCGGTGCTGATCTGAATCATCTAGCTGTGTGATGTATTGCACAAAGACAATGCCCAACCAAGTCAACAAACACCATAAGCTTTGGCTGCACCTATTCTCAGACAATAAAAATGATTGAAGGCACATATCTGATGCTGTTACCAATGAGGGATGGGCAGGAATCTCAGTGAAATAAAGAATTGCATAGCTGAAAACGCCTAGCCAGAGCTTTGAGGCGGCTAGTTAATATGCAAGCTGTAAACCAGCTGTCATTAGCCATCGAAAGGAGATTCTCATCGATGTATCTTATACGCTACGGCTGCCACAGCTGAGATGTGTTGCCTGCTGCAGTGCGATGCCGGCATACGATTGGCTAGCTGGGGAAAGATGTAGCCTGGGCGTAGAGGGTTAAACGCATCAGAGTCCTTCCCTCCCTCCCCTCTCCTCCCGTACTATTACATTTTAGGTGCTGCATAGTGGAGATCTTTTTGCCAGCTTCAATCCTCCTCCCCCCCTTCTCCTCCTTCCTTCTCCTACTTAGCATCTGGGGATGCAGAGAGCAAGGTGGGTGGGGTCCTTCCTTTTAGAGATGTTCACCGTATTCCTTCTGACTATGGATGCCCGTCTCTGCCGACTGCAGAATTAAAATTTATAATTACCGGGGAAGGAGGCATGAGAGGACAAGTTCCGTCAGCAGGCTCACCTGATCCAACTCTACCGTATCTATGCAAGCGGCTTATTAGGAGAGGAGAAAATTGCTTGCACTTGCAAGGTGCCGCTGTGCAAAAAAAAATTCGTACCGGAAAGGAATTGCTGTTTTTATTTGCTGACTGACCGCAGCTGCATTTTTGTTTTTGTGCAAGAGGGTGCAGCTGAAAAAAAAAGAAGCTCAGTGCCACACCTGGAAGCCGGCTTAGGCTCAGCTCAAGGTTGCCGAGGATGGCTTGGCCTTGTGTGACCAGGGCATGTTGCATCGCTCGTTTCGGCAATAAGCAAGACAAGGGGGACATTGCAGTCCCTTTAATGTTCTCGAAATATTCGGAGGTAACAGACGGTACTCAGTCGCTACCACGCCCTGGGTCTGCTGCCATAGAAACCCAGCCGTGCTACGGGGGCCAGTCTAGGTCATCGAAAGAGTTGTCTTCCAGGGGCTCCGTCATGAGGCAGGACTACAAGCCCTGGAAATCCACCCCCGAGCCCAGCTGCAAACCTCGAAGCGAGTACCAGCCTTCCGAAGCCCCTTTGGAAAGGGAGACCCAGTACAAGAAAGATTATCGCTCCTGGCCGATCCCTCGCCAAGGTGACCATCCTTGGATCCCGAAGCCCATCCCTCACAGCCCCTCCATGCACATCCATCCCACTGTTCTGGAAAACAAGAAGACGGATGTCATGGGCTCTATTTTGCCACCCTTGGAGAAAAGGATCAGTGATCTGGACCCTAGGGAGAGCCTCGAGCACAGGTTGATGAAAGGAAGGGTGGCGATTGCATATAACGTGACCCCGGAGATTTTGGTGTCTGTAGTGCAGGAAAGCAAAGTCATCCAACATCGGGAGCTGATGGCCAAACCACCTCCCAAGGAGACAAGTCAAGGAGAGGAGGACGGTAGAGGCGGCTCTTCATACAGGTTAAGTTTACTTTTACCTTTTTCCAAAAAATATGACCTGATTGAGGGAGCGACAGATGTACTGTAACAACTAGCAAAGCAAAGAGAAAATACCCAACAGGTAGCTAAGCATGACCATACATGACACTGTAAATTCAAGATTATCTGTGTAGTAGAATCGAGACCCAACTGTGCCATGCGGGGGTTAAATCTAGACTGAAATGACATACCACTGAACATCAAAAGCATAATTCATCACACATGTAGATTTATTGTACATTAACAGCATGCTGGAAAATCTCTGGGCAAGACAGTACCTCGTACTCGTTGCCATTCATGTCCTGCATGACATCTGTTGACATTTGAGGGTATAATGGTAATAATTATTGAATCAGTATTGATGGGAAGAAACTCTCTGCAGCCAATCAGAAATCAGCTGCCACCAATTTAGGGTAATCAGGCTAATAAAATATTATTTCTGATTTGATGTAACTGCTTACTGCACCTTCCCTGTTGCTTCTGGCCTTGGCACAGGTATTTCGGGTTTGCCAGCAGTTCCCGGCTGTGGAAGTGACTGTAGTTGCAGTGAAGTCAGCTGGTTATATTTTCCATTAGGGTTTTCTAGATCATTTTTGGATTTAGTTTTTCTTTTTAATGATATATTATAGGGTCTTACTGCACTTATATAATATAAACTAGGGATGCTCCGATCCCGGTTTTTCGGTATCTAGTACGAGTATCAATATTTATATTTCGGTACTCGCCGATACCAAGTACCGATACTGGTACTTCCGTTAGCATAAAGCCGGCTTCCCGTGCAATCAGGAAGCCAGACGGCGTGCCATTACCCACCGCCCGGCTTCTTGAGTGCCCGGGAAGCCAACTCCATTCTGTTTGGCCGGCTCGATGCTGATTGGCCGGGAAGCCGACTTCCCAGCCAAATTAGCATCAAGGCCGGCCAAACAGATCTGACAATATGATGACACGACCCTCAACCCTGCAGACACTCATTCCCCTCACATAGATCCTCAGCAGTGGTCATTACCGTAGCAGTCCCTCGGCCAGCTGGGCAAACACCGCTCTCCAGGATCTCCCGGATCTGCCCACGTCTCCTGTGTGTACAGCGCCCACGTGATCGGCCCTCGGCCTGCTACTGTGCATGCGCAGACCGCCCAGCGCTCATTCAGAAATCCTGTGCATGCGCAGTAGCAGGCTGAGGGCCGATCACGTGGGCGCTGTGCACATGGGAGACTGCAGATTCCGAGAGAGCTTGGAGTCTACCCAGCTGGCTGAGGGACTGGTACGGTAATGGCGGCTGCTAAGGATCTATGTGAGGGGAATTATTTGTCTGCAGGGTGGGGGTCGTGTCACCATATTATCAGATTTGTTTGCCCGGATCGACATTGATTGGCTGGGAAACTGGCTTCCCACCCAATCAGCATCAAGCTGGCCAAACAGCATGGAACCAGCTTCCCGGATCCATGTTCCCTCGCGCCACTGCTGGTCAGAGGAAATCTCCCTCTGACCGAAAGTTCCAGTATCGGGAAAGGTATTGGAGTATTTGGGCGAGTACGAGTACTCAGTGCATCCCTAATATAAACACTTCCAATATGAAGCCAAATAGCCCATTCAGAGAGGTACCTGGGATTGGGCGTATTACCGCATGTGTGTTAACAGCCCATTCTATTTAAAATTTTTAATTTTCAACACAGCACACAACACAGCAAATGGTTCAATGTGAATGTTTAACATGAAAAATATCTGTTTATGCTTTCAAAAAAAGTATTTCTATATAGTTTGTAACCAAATACATGCATGCATGGAGGTCGCATTTATTTATTACATATGCGGATTCTGCTTCCTGCTTTGTAATGCTACACAGTGACTGTGCCTTACTGCTCTTCAGTCTCTGCAAGTCTATCAGTCTGCTCTGGAAGATTGACAGCCATAGAATCTGTAGGTGACCTCCATTCAGGCATGTTTACGCAACGTGCACAAAACGTCTCTCATGCATGTGGTGCCAGTATATGTGCATGGTGGAGGTTGTATTTATTTATTACATATGCAGACCCTGCTTCCTGCTTCGTAGTGCTGCACAGTGACTGAGCATTACTGCTCTTCAGTCTCTGCAAGATTGACAGCCATAGAATCCTCTAGGTGAACTCCATTCACAAATGTTTGTGCAACGTGCCAAAACGTGTGTCATGCATGTGGCACCAGTATACGTCTACGTGCATTGTGGAGGTCGTATTTATTTATTTATTTCATAAGCAGAATCTGCTTCCTGCTTCGTAGTGCTGCACAGTGACCGAGCCTTACTGTTCTTCGATCTCTGCATGCCTATCAGTCTGCTTGGAAGATTGACAGCCATAGAATCTCTAGGTGACTTACATTCATGCATGTTTATGCAACATGCCCAAATTGTGTGTCATGCATGCTGTGCCATTATTTGCTATTGCCGCCCCCAAATGCTACAAGCAAGCAAGCAAAAAATTGGTTCCGTGAGCTTCTTTGCCGCAATTGTCGCACCATGGGCAACCTATTGAAATCAATGGGCGGCTCTATGCTTACGCAATGACCAAAGCGGCAAAACGCGCCACCCGTTTACACACACGAGTCTGGCGTGAATGGGGGCTTGAAGCTGGCTGTACATGTAGCAGTTTTTAGGCCGTTTCATCAACCTTCACCCAGCTTTTTGGTCTCTAATATGACGAAGAATTATTGAAAGAACAAAGGAAACGTTCCATTAATAAGATCGGACGGATTTGATGGATTACAATATATTTAATACAGGAAAGGAATAATTCTGATCATATAGAAATCGACTGGAAATGGTAACAAGCAATTAGAAAGTGATTGGAGTTTCCGCAGCGTTCGATCGAGGTTTCTTAAACAGCGGTTGACCATAAACGGTAATCTATATAGTTCAATCTCGAAAAATCAAATCCTAATATTCCAGCTTTAAGGATCGCTTAACAATAGAAACCCCTCCCACTGTACAAGGCTTGGGGTAAGGATTAGGGCTACCTAGTTGTGTCACTGTACACGTTACTATCTGACTATTAGACATGTGCAATTCGTTTCGTTCCGAATCAAAATTCGGACCTTCGGACACATCCGAATTTCCAAATCCCAATGCATCCGAATGCGTCCGAATCCGAGTTTGCATTTCCGAATTTCGTTAAAAAACTAAATTGCATTCTGGGGGTCCTAGAATGCCATCAAAAATGCCCGCTGGGACCCCCAGTGCGTCCCCACATCAAAGATAGTCAAACTAGAAAAAGATGGCAACCGCATACATTTATAACTAGCCTTTGTAGCAGGGTGCACATGGGAAGGCTGGTTATAAATGTATGTGGTTACCATTTCTTTCTAGTTTGACTATTTTGGATGTGGGGACGCACTGGGGGTCCCAGCGTGCATTTTTTATTGCTGGGCCTCCATTGCGTCCCTGCACCTTTTGAGGAGGAGTAAGCTACCTCCTGGTACACCTGCATGCAATCTATCGACTGCATTAATATGCTCCCACTTGGAGACTCGTATAAATAGAATTAGGACCACACTTTACAGAGGTGCCTTGGCGCAGCAGTGTGGCTTCTACATACTTTTGGCCAAAGGTTTGTGCAACTAAAACCTCTGCTTTTAACGCATACTGTTGACAGAGTCATTTGTTTTGTTGCAGGCTAGCTGGCAGGTGTGCCGGGAACTTTTTTTGTGTTTTGTATTGTTGTGAGCCTTCCCATGTGCACCCGTCTACAAAGGCTGGCTGTAAATCTATGCGGTTGCCATCTTTTTCTAGTTTGTCATAAGCTAGGGCGCGCTTGTACGCGTGGCTCCATTTGACCCTGCTAGGCAGTGGAGCCACCTTCAAGATGCTAAGGTAGTACACAGAGACTGCAAATAGAGATTGCAGAGAAATGACAGGACAGAAAGCAAAGAGCAAACATGATGAGTCCTATAGTATGCTGCTGTATTTCACATTTTACATTACGGGTTTATTATCATTTTAAAGTAAAATAGCCTGCCTCCCCGCCTCTCTTACACATCTCCCCGCCCAGCTCTTGGCAACCTGGGACACTGTGGACGGCGTCCCGCCCAGCTCCAAGCAACCTGTGATGTCACCGGTTGCTATGAACTGGGACCCACACACACCAGCCAGAGCTTCCCCGGTTACTAAGAGCTGGGTGGGGAGATATGTATGGGAGAGGGGTGGGGAGTAGGGTTGCCACCTGTCCAGGATTCACCGGGACAGTCTGGGTTTTGAATGCTGCAGCAGAAACCAAGACACAAGATGTCAGGCAGATAGGGGCAACCAAAATTAAGATAGGGGCTACTGGCACCCCACTGAAAAATAGTCTGGACTGTGATATTTACATATGAATGGGTGGCGCTATGTACATATGAATAAGCCGCAACTCATTCTCCCAAGAAATAAATGTCTGCACGCTCGTGTAGTGTAGCACGTCGCTACAGTGTTCGGGTTTTCGCTTGAAGAAAAGGTGGCAACCTTAGTGGGGAGAGACAAAATGTCCACTGTCTCCGTGGGTCAGCTAACGTTTGCTGACCCACGGAGTGGCACCAGGCATGTGCCATATGTACCATACCCTAGATATGCCACTGGTGACAACAAAGCAGCACAATTGGTAGACAGGGACACAAGGAGCACAATTGGTAGACATTATAGAGTTGCCACTCTATAATGAAAGATGCAGATTGTAAAATATTGCAAATGCCTTTTGGCATGACCCTAACATGTTAATACGAGTTTTAGTGATCGGATTTGCATATACGTTAAAGGCACATAAGTCATTTTCATCTATAGGCCACTATAGAGGCTAGAAACGTTGGTATGTCCCTGTGATACACAAGACGTTTAGATGTCTCCCTGTCCATTGGCAGGTATCCTCCTGTGTAAACATCCAGTCACATAAAAAATGACTTTGAGGTCACCTTTAGGCCCTGTTCACATCTGTGAGTTGCAGTAACATGTGTGTAGATGCATATTTGTGTACGTGTTGCTG